ACTGCTCAAGAAAAAACAAAAAAAAACCAATGCTCAACAGTAGAATGTGTTGAATAAATGAATTAAAAAAAAAACACATTTACACACAAAAAAAAAATTCAAGCTACATTTTTTCTATGTGAGATTAGCAATGGAGTAACTGGATTAGTGTAATGTTGAGTAGCAAACAGTACATTAGCTTACTCACTCACAAACACACACACGCAAACACGTGTATAAATCAATGGCGCTGTAAAAAATGGAAGATATATAAGCCAAAAAAAGTCAAAGTGCACACACACAGCTAGCTGTGCACCAAGTTCATAGCAAGTGAGCACAAAAATCACACCATTTTTCATAGTATTGTCAACAAAAAGCGAAAAACAATTCAAGTACACACTGCACTAGCAACTTACAATCTAAACTACCTGAATGAGTATTGTGTGTACGAAAAAACAAACAAGGAAGGCATTTATCAAAGGAACAGATAGATAGACAGAGAGATAGATAGATAGTTAGATTAAAGATACAGAATAATAAATATTACATTACTAAATAACAAGAAATAATAATCTTTTCTTCACAGTCTTCATTCATGTTGTTGTTATTGTTATTGCTGTTCATAAAAATTGTGTGTCCAATAAATCGGATTGGTCTTTGTTGTCTGACTATGATGATGATGATGATGATGATGATGAAGTGTATGTGTCTATCTATGACAGTGTTGTTGTATTTGTTGACTGACTGTATTATTTTATTATAACAGTGTGGAAATCGATCATGTCGGTTGGTTACAGCGTAATATTTATTATTCGCTTGCTTTCTATGTTTGTACAAATGTGTCATACATACAGTTCGCTTCAAGGAATACAGTTTAATAATGAAAATTATTTTTTAAATAAAATAATTATTGCTAATTCCAGTATAACAGTCAGTCAGTCAGATGCAACGTAGAATTTCGTATGTAAGTACATCAGTTCATGTCGCCATACCACATTAGCACACACAGATGTAACTATCAATTCAAATCCAAAAATAGAAGGGGTGGTAAAGGTATTAGATGTAATCAAAGAGGTTAGGATTAAAAGATATTATTCAAGAAGTATGATTCAGTGAGAAAAGTTTAGAAAGACAAAACTAGAGGTGTTGAAGAATCCAGAAGATTAGGATTTGAGAGAACACAAAGAATAAATGCACCTGCGCCATTGCATCGATTATTATCATCTCGCAGACCCCAACCAGGTAGTCGACAACTACCGACATGACTCAATCCCTTGTCAATGACTTCACGGATTTCTGCCATGTTTTGGTTTGGCCGCCCCTAACTTTCTTCCAACCTACTCCTACACTACAAAACATAGCTCGTCGAGGCAGTCGGTGGTTAGGCATACGCAGCACATGTCCCAACCACCTCAACTGATGAAGTTTCATTACTTCATCTATTGATCTGCCATTCTTACCTAGCACCCGTTTCCTAATAACAGCGTTGCTCACTCGGGTGTCCCAGGATATACGAGCAATGCTTCGAAGACACCTATGATCGAAAACCAGTAACCTACCGATATCTTCTACTCTCACTGGCCATGTTTCACAGCCATAATGTAAGACGGGGCGAGCTACTGCACAGTACATTCTTCCTTTAGTCAGCAAACGGATATCTCGTCTACGCCATAGTTGACGCAGGTTGGCAAAAGCCGATCGAGCCTTCTGTTTCCGAGCTGAGATTTCGTCAGTCACCAGGCCATCGGCACTGATGAGACTCCCCCAAATAAGTGAAGTGATCAACACGTTCGACTACTTCACTCCCTATCACTAGTTCAGGTGCCAATGCAACCCAATCTTGAAGCAACATTTTGCATTTCAACGGTGAGGACCGCATCCCGAACATGCTTGGATTGTTCATTAGGGTAATCAGAAAACTCTGTACTTTGTCAGCGTCTTCACCAAGTAGGACTATGTCATCGGCATATTCCATTATATAGGATATTGAATTATATGTCATGATGTACGATATCTAAGATATTTGGAGGGGATACGTGCACCTAGCACCCTGTAAACTAAGTAACCTAACTAGTGGTGGCCAAACCAAAACATGGCACAAATTCATCAAGTCACTGTCAAATGGACATACCACATTAACATACACACAGAGATCGAATTTTCAACTCAAATGATCGAAAATAACATTCGAAAAGCATATCTCTCAAAGGAATCAATGAAAAAATCAGGAGAAATAACTGTTATGAAAAATTCAGAAGATTACAACTTGAAAGATAACTAACAGTGGATGCATCTGCGCTATCTCATTCAGAGTCTCTGACCATTGGTTACGTTTGTCTCGCGGACCCTAACCACGTAGTCTACACCTACTAACATAACGCAGTCTAGTTGTCAGTGACATGTTTCGGTCTGGGCGCCATTAGTTTTCTTCCAACCTACCCAACTGACAATTGGATTAAGGCATGATAGTGTAGGTGTAGACTACCAGGTTGGTGTTCACGAGACAATAGTAATCGAATGTTAGAGATTTCGAATGATGACATGGCTCGAAATCTGTTGCAATGACACAGATGCATCCATTCTTTACTTCTTCTCTGAAATTCTAATCTTCTAAATTATTCATCACCATTATATTTCTCTTTTAAAATCTATTTCACTGCACGATGCTTCTTTAGTAACATCGTCGAACCCTAATCTTTGCGAATACTGCTAATACTTATACTACATCTACTACTGTGAGATTTGAATTAACAATTGTATCTCTGTGTGCTAATGTGGTATGGCAACCTAAACTGATGTACGTACGTACGATGTTCTACGCTGTAGCTGACTGATTTAGATCAAAGAGTTGGGGACTGGCCCCCCTCAAGGAACCGTCAGTTTCAATTTACGCAGCCAGGCAGTATCTCAACCCACACACACACACACACACAAATTCATTGATTCACGTAGTGCGGTGCATCAACATAAAAATATTTTAGTGCAGCTTGTACTAATTTTTTCTTGTTAATGTGTTTAAATAAATTTTGTTGAGTAAAACAACTTCACAAACAAACATATATCAATGAATGCGCATCGGTAAATAGTTCGGTAAAGAAAATAATTATTCGCATTCTCTCAGTCGGTTACTCATTCACTCACTCACTCACTCACTCATTCACTCACTCACTCACTTACTCATTCACACACTCACTCAATCACTGACTCATTCATTCACTCATTCAATCACTCACTTACACAATCAACAAACAATGGACTTTCATTGTGAGCATTTATAATACTCTCTCATGTATACACATCTATATTTGTTTGTGTTATACTGTTTACATAAAGATAACAACAGGCTTTTAGTTATTTATTCATTTTTTTCTCGCTTGAAAATTGTACATTGAATAAAAAAATTTACTTTGTTTAAATAGATATACATATCTTTTGTTTTAATCTAACAATTTCACAAACGAAATGATTTATCAATTAAATAGTTGATGAATAAATAATGTTAAAATAATAATCATAATAAGAATGTGAGAAATGTAAGATAAAATTATTTTTTTTTCAAAAAAATTGAGAATTTCAGTAAGAACAACAACAACAACGACCAAAAAATTATCAGGGATAAAGATCATTTTTTCATTAAAGCGAGTTGTGGAATATTGTTGAGTTAATTCCTGAAATTATAAATCAATTATTGTTAGACCAGTCAGTCAGTCAGATGCAACGTAGCTGCTACCTTGACGTGGTGGTCGGGCTTGCCTATCGTCATGACCCAACCGAGCTATATTGGCTGCAACATATGTTCCTGAAGGTTCTACCATGCCAGGCAGGTCCATTGGAGAACGATGAGACTAAATGCAGCTACCCAAGGTTTGAGGGTGAAGGCGTACTGCTGACTGCAGAGGAGTGTGACAGCAGTAAGGTGTTTCCTTCGGACAACCAGCATCTGCAGCGATGCTGCCTTCTCACAAGGAAGGAAGGGGTTAGAAAAGGTCGACCCTAAAAATGTCACACCTCACCCTACCTCACGGATTTCCGTCTCTGGCGGTAAGAGTGCCCACTAAGGGCTTTCAAGAGCGGAGCTAACACTCAAAAATCCCTTCATAAAAAGGTCGTGCGTGACCGGCCTCGAGCATTTGTCTCTTGGACTCTGCGGTCACGCTCCCAGGTCTCTAAGAACAACACTAATATAACTTCCATTTTCAGTTTCTTCAAGAAACAACCCTCAACGGTTTAGGCAGCCAGGAAGTGACAACCGCTATTATCCCCGTAACAGCACACGAGACCAAATCGGTCGAAATCAAATCCTTCCTACACCCACACACACCTCTTTTCTCTCCACAACGAACTCTACTCACATTCCTTCATTGTTAGACCACCAGTGGAAAGAAACCTGGAAGCAGACTGGACAGCCATTTCGTCCCAATATATGGGACTCATCATCAATGGCAGTACGCATCCACGACAGTGGTTCAGTCATTAATGAGTATATAGCACGTTAGTGATTACATTTAGAATCCTACATTTCCGGAGGTTGAGCGTTCGTGTGCGAGACCTAAGGTCCTAGGTTCAGCTCCTGCAAGTGGCAGGAGTCGTGAATGCGCACTGCCACTGATAAGTTGTCCCATACCAGTATAAAATGGTCTGAATTTCCTTGTATCATACTTACTGATTTACTTACGCCTGTTATGCCTCATGCAGTATAGACCGCCGACTAGTATTCTATAACCTACACTCTCCTGCACTTTCCCTTTTGAGTTCTATCCAATTGCTGCTCATTCTTATGATGTCTGCTTTTAGTGTATGTTCTTCTATCTTTCTCTTCTCGATTGGTCTTGAGAATACTGAGTTGCGGCTTTTGTTGTGACGCGCTTGGATGATTTCCACAATGTGTGTCCTATCCACGACTTCGGCAACTCGCAGGATTTGAACCAAAGCCTTTGGTCTTGCGCTCAAACGCCTAACTTTTATTAGACCACCAAGCCGGTAGCATCCAACGGAGTTAATGTCTAACTCCGATCAATCTTAGGGTTTAAACGCGATCCTACCCATTCGTCTTGTGAGTAGCAGGAGTCGTGGGTGAGTACTGCCACTGATGTATCTCATACCAGGACACGACGGCTGTCCAGTGCTCCCACGATTTTTTCCAAGAGTGGTTAAACAAGGATTTATTCATGGTTTCAGCAATAAAAATCATTTTGTATTTATTAAAAATATTATTGAACAAAGTTAGAGTGTTTGAAAGTGCGCGCCGAAACCCCCCACACACACCTATTCATTGAATACTCATGTATTGATTACATAATCTTCTCATCAATGAAATAAAAACAACAAAGGAATTCAGTTGATTTGTTTTAGATAACTAAACAAACTGATCACTTTCGCCAATATATAAGAGATGAAATGACATACATAATCTGGCAAGCTCAGATTAGTGAAAGTACAATAATATACTGATGACAGTGATGAGCGGTTCTATCTGATAATTAAGAAAAGTGTTACCGGTGTAATAACAGCTTTGATCTGTTGAATAATCAACCTTACACACATATCCTATGATCTCTGGTAGTGGAATGGAAAGATTGAGTCTTCTCATAAACAGTCAAGGGTTATCGCTAAACACAGTATTCTGTCATCAACTGAAACAAGATATCACGATAAAAGATTGGGGTTAAGTATTCACATTTTGATTAAAGTTCTCAGTTTAATCTTGCCTATTGTGGGTTAGGATTTCCATGACGAACTGATATCAGACACATGATTCAATTCTGTTTACAAACTTTAGAAACTTGTGATGGTGAATACTTGATATATGTGCTTAGGCTGTGTAACCAATGATCAAGCATACCATACTTATAACAAGTGCAACAATCATAAAAGTACAAAGGTTCTAGTAGACAAGGTTGTTGCTGTTCCAACGACTCTGTCAGTTATATGAATTAATAGGAAGCGCTTAACCAAATTAAACGTAAACAGACTTGCTGAGATTTAGAATGAGTTAGAACTTCACTACTGCATACTCTTGATTTGAACACTCCATTAGCCTTGAGAACAATTTATGTATGGTAATTCAGTTTAATCATCATCTCCCCATATAAATGGCCAACGTCTACTTCAGTCATTCATCATATACAACTTATCAGTGTCACTAGAGCGACCAGATCAAAACACGGCACAAATTCATGAAGTCACTGACAAGTGGACTGAACCATGTTAATGTAGGTGTAGACTACTTCGTTAGGGTCCGTGAGACAATAGTAACCTATCGTTAAAGACCTTGAAAGACACGTCTGAAAATCGTTCGCAATGGCTCTGGTGCATCCATAATTTGTCTTCTCCCACGTCCTCATCAAAGCTTAGGACCTTTAATTCTCTATACCGAAATTTATTTCACTGCATTCTACTTCTTGAATAATAATCCTCTCGAGTCCTAATCTTTCCAATTACCGCTAATACTTCTACTATAACTACCACTAAGGGATTTGAATTGACTATTGCATCTCAGTGTACTATGTGTATAGTATGTGGTGGCTACCTGATGTACTGATGTACGCCCGTACCAAATTCTACGTCGTTGCTGACTGACTGACTGACTATCAATATCACTGTACTTTAAATCTTGTGCAAAACACACACACACTTCAACTGTTCTTATCTTCATTCAAATTGAATTCACTCCAGTATTGTAGCACCTAACATATATCTTGTACTTTTATCATTGTTAAGCTTGTATGGGCGCATGTACACTTGGGCATTACTTGTCACCTCCTATACATATAGTTATTTGACTAGCTTTATCGTTTAACAGTTTGAATAATTCAATGCCATCATCGACTATACATACATATTTGAATGAAATCCGATATTAGTAATCGATCATTAAAATAAATTCGAATAATAATAAAGAAATTGTGACAATGGGCTTGTGGTGGTATTCTCTCTCGTAGCGATCATCACAAGACAGAGGGAGATATAAGGGGAAATCGAAGATAACAACGAAAATCTAACGCCACAGTGTATCTGAATACAGATGTGAAGGCGCAAATCGACAAAAGAACGACTGTATTACTACAATAGATGAACATCTGGAACTGAAAACATCTGTCAATCAACACCAAAATCAGAATTTTCAACACAAATCTCAAGACAGTTCTACCATATGAGAAGGGGACTTGGGGAACTCTAACAAAGCCATCATTCAGCAGATACAAGTATTTTTACACATTTGAAATCATCAATAAATGATTGTTACTAGACAAACATTAGAAACCTCAATGAACTGGACGGCCGTTTCGTCCTGGTATGGGACTCATCAGCAGTGCGCATCCACATACCAGGACGAAACGGCAGTCCAGTGCTTCCAGGTTTCTAATGGTGGTCTAACAATGGTTGATTGATGATTTCAAATGTGTGAAAAACGGAAACCTCCAAAACTCTGCCCCAAAATACAAGTATTTATTAACAGTTGTCTACGCAAAAAATTGAGGATCCGTTGACCAGACACTATCAACAACAGCCTACTATGGAAAACGACAAAACCAAACTCCAACGGAGGAAGAAATCAGGAAGTGAATAAGACACATATTGAGGAAGCCATTCAACGGCATCACAAGACAAGTACTCCCTTGAGATCCTCATAACCAAAATGGAACGCGGAAGACAAGAAAAAACAAACATATTACGCTGACAAATAGAGATGGACATGAGAAAGAATGAACAACTATTGGACAGAACTAGAAAGGAAGGCGTAGGACAGAGAGTAGGTTGGAGAATGCTGATCAGTGGCCTATACTCTCCATTAGGGTTAACAGGCGTAAGTAAGTAAGTAGATAAGTAGTCATCTTCATAAATTGTCACTCCTTACTTCATTCATTCAAATATGTATATATGTGTATATATATATTACATTTAAACAAAGACACACAAGAAAAACAAACAAACACAATGAATTAATTACCTTTGCATTTTAAATATTCCGCCATTAATGCAGCAATGTGTAATTTAGTCATAGCTAATTCTGTGTAACTTTTTGAATTCATGTGTATTTTCACTAATTCTTCTAACCATGTACTAAATAGAATAAACAAAATATTATAGATAAACAAAAAAATGGCTCAAATAATCCAAGTGTATATTGATCACATTGAACATAGTTTAACGTTGCATTATGAAGGTTGAGGAGATTGTTGTTGAATTAATTTATTGAATCGATCATTGTTAGACAACCACTAGAAAGAAACTTGGAAGCACTGAAAGATGGCCGTTTCGTCCTGGTATGGAACTACTCATCAGTGGCAGCGCCTATTCACGACTCCTGCCACCTACAGGATTCGAACACAGGACCTTCAGGTTTTGAGCGCGAAAGCCTAACCTCTAGACCACTAATCCACTGTATTCGATGAGCATTGTTTCACACCAGAACACCAGGTTGAACTCTACTAGTCACATCTTCTCAGTAGAGCTCAGAGTAACTTCCTGATGGAGCTAGTCACTAGTGAGTACATGTAATCTACATTATGTTGTGGAAATTGTTGAGTTACATTACTGAAATCATGAATCGATCATTGTTAGACAACCACTAGAAAGAAACTTGGAAGCACTGAAAGATGGCCGTTTCGTCCTGGTATGGAACTACTCATCAGTGGCAGCGCCTATTCACGACTCCTGCCACCTACAGGATTCGAACCCAGGACCTTCAGGCTTTGAGCCCGCGAAAACCTAACCTCTAGACCACTGAACTAGCACCTGATGGTGTTAATGTCCGAATCTGATCAATCTAAGGATTTTGAACAACTTCATCCACTGTCTTCGGTATGCACTGTTTCACATCAGAAACATGTTGAACTCTACTGGTCACAACTTTTCACTAGAACTCAGATAAACTCCTGACAGAGCTAATCACTAGTGAGTACATGTAATTCGTTATTATAGGATTGTGGAAATTGTTGAGTTATTTAATTAAAATCATGAATCGATCAATGTTGCACAACCATTAGAAAGAAACCTGAACGCACTGGAATATATCCAATGTTCAATAGATGAGTTGAATCAATAATCACTTTCGATTAGTTTCTTGTTGATTCTAGTTTGTGTGAATGCTTTAATATTAGTGTAAATTTCAGTAAATATTTCATTTCAAGCATTATGTCATTGTAGCCCACATATGATGAAATGATGAATGAAAGAACACAAATAAAGTGATTTTTCCAACTAGAGTTATGCAGATCAGTGTTTTTAAAACAGTGAAATCATTGTTAGACCATTATTAGAAATCTGGAAGCACTGGACAGCTGTTTCGTTCTGCTACGTGACTTATCAACAGTACACATCCACGACTCCAGCTATTCGCATAGGATTCGAACGCCTAATCACCAACGTGAATAATACTCGCTTACTAATGAGTGGATCACTGTTGGGAATACTGTGTAAAAATCATGCTGAATAAACATTGCAAGTTTTACATACAAAACCTCAGTCATAATCACAAATCTATCGTTCAGACAGTTGTGGTTGTTAGATCATCCTCATAAAAAGTATGGGATCGATTCTTATTGAAATCATGAATGGATTAATGTTAAATTACGATTCAAAACTTAGAAACATTGAACAGTCGTTTTATCCTAGGATGAAATTGATCAACGCTGGACATCCAAGACGCAATGCGCAGGAAATGAACACAAGACCCAAAGATCTCGCGCGCCAAGGCCTCTCTAGATGCGCACTGCTGATGAATCGCATACTATGACAAAACGAACCTTCTTATTTGGTTACTTCTGATTAGCTGTCTTAGGATATTCATCCCACATCCTAAGAGTAAGTCTAGTTCTATTGGCCATCCTAACTATTAATGTCACATACTTCAAATATTGTTTCATATTCGACCTAAGTGTATAAATACACATTATCTGTAACGCTTTATGACCCGGATCATCAGTCCGGGATCCTTGCATTCCATATGTCTCCCACTTTGCTCCGCTATTCGCCATCCCATTGGGCAGTTGATTGGTGGTCTATATCTGACACTTGTTGGCAGAACATGCTGACGAAGACATTCGTGGAGAAAAAAAAGTTGTTCTCGAGTGGAAGCCTGCCTTTTGGCGAAATTCTCCCATTTTCGAACAATGTGAAGCGTATCACGCTCATATGATTTTGAGATGGTGGAGAAAACTTGTAGCTCCAAGTTTTCTCCACCATCTCAAAATCCTTGCATTCTTCTGGACTCGGACCTCGTACTTTCTGGATGGTTTTCTACGTCAAATCAAGTCTTCTTCTACTACTCAATGGGAGTTTGGAACGATGTTCGACTTCACATCAAGTCGTCTTCTTCTATTCATATGGGGTTTGGGACACTCGGATTAGAGTAGCTTGTCGTGTCTCCGGATCATCGATCTTCGCTCTCGTTTTCCGACTAAGGTAAACTCGCCATAGTTCAAGCATATCAAAATGACATGTTGACGTGCGTTTGTAAAACTATAATTTCAAGTTATTCACCTCACTAGTGAGTATTGACTATTATGTGGAGGTTATTCAAGCGTTTAACTCATCATGTATGTCACAGTGTATGACAATTGTTGATTACAGTTTCATTGAAATCATGAATCGATCAATGTTAAACCATACACCCATCAGAAACCTAGAAACAATGGACGGCTGTGTTATTCCAGGATGAAACTTATCCTCATCCTCGTGAGCAGGAGTCGAACACAGGATCGGAAGTTTCACGCACAATAATAAAACGAAACACAACACAATAAAAACAACAGAAAAGCTGAAAATTTACCGTCTTAATGCTGGATTACTACTGTATGATTTAGCTAAAGCATATTGTAAATCAACTAAACGTTCCGGGTCATCACAATGTCGACGTATTTCAATAGTAGCAGTTAATACAGTTAATATACGATGTATTAAATCATCAATATCATTTAAAAATAAACGTATATTATTGGCATTAGTCCAAAATGATAATTTTCCATAAGTGTTGGACGGTGATGAAGACGTAGGAGACATCATGATTGTTGTTGATTGGGTTGTTGATTGTTGAGTTGTTGTTAATTCTGCATTACGTTGCATATCAGTCTGAGCTAAACTATGCAATAAATTTAAACTTGCTTCAAAACCAGGACTTAATTCTGTGACAAGTTTAGATATAGCTATAATTGTCTATGTGGAATAAATTTAGAAAAAAACAAACAAGAGAAAACAATGGAGAAGATTGTTAAACATTTTAATTCAATTATCAATAATTTACAAGGAGTGAATTATTGCATCTATGGAAACACATGAATTCCGGCATGTAGACCCTTCGGGGCTACTACAGTAGTGGAGGAGAACACAGGTGAGGGCAACCGAATTGTATTTAACGAAAATTACAGAGTTACTCAGTAAAATTGGAAAACCATATCGTAAATCGTTCATTTGCAAAATATCAGTTCATCATCATATCGAACTGGACTGTTCCTGTTGCAAACAACATCTAATCCATTGTCACTACTATTCATGCGTTTCATACAAATTCCATTGTGTTCTTATAACTTTTCGTTTCTTGATCTTCCCCGCCATCTTCTGCTGCCAGACATTACGCTGACACGTCATATACTACTTATAAGTAGCTCACACCACACTACTACTGCCGATCCCAAGCCTGTGGATGGATATAGGAGAAGGCTTAAGGCTTGTGGGTTGGTGACTCTATCCCGCAAAAAAAGCCAACGAGAAAAAAAATAATTTAAACCATTTAAACTCTGCTCTGGGAGCTAGAAGGTCTTCTCATTTAGAAGAGTTATGATCTATCATGCTTGAAAGCCAAGTTCCTTCGGAAGTCTCGGCGTCTTGGAAACGCGCATACAGGATCCTAGTAAAATTATTAATTTGATTTCGCCTTGTCAAAATAAAGAAGCAGCTAGATTTACTCTTCGTGTATCCGGTAGCCCTGATGCTGCTTCCAGGGGTCTTGCTGGTGTAGGTATAGCATTGAGTCGTAGGGCAGAACTAGCGCTCCTAGACTGGATCCCTGTAGATAGTCGCTTGTGCGCCGTCCGACTAAACGGGACAGTAGGGGTTCGAAGGATACGGACACCCGTCGGTGCCTCTTCGTCATATCTGCTTATGCACCCACTGACTGCAGTTCAGACGAAGTGAAAGACGAGTTCTACAGAAAGCTTTCGGACCTCCTCCAAAACGTTAGGCGCTCTGATGTAGTAATAATGGCTGGTGAATTTAATGCTCAGGTAGGTAGACTAAGTCATGTTGGTAGATGTAGGCTACCTGGTTGGGGTCTGCGAGACGATAGTCATCGATGGTTAGAGACCTTGGACGACATGTCTCAGAATCGTTTGCAATGGCGCAGGTGTTCTATGAAATTCTAAGCTTCTGCAGCAGTTATCAGAAAGATTAGTGTTTGAAGATGTTATTCAAAAAGTACATTACAGCGTAGTAAATTTTCATTAGGGAAAAGTAAAAGTGATGAGGAATTCAGAGGATTAGAATTTGGGCGAACACAAAGAATGAATGCACCTGCGCCATTGTAAACGAGTTTCAGCTATGTCATTCACAGTCTCTAACCATGCGTCACTATCGTCTCGCGGACCCAAACCCCTGGTAGTTTACACTTACCAACATGACTTAGTCCACTTGTCAGTAACTTCATAGATATGTGTCATGTTTAGATCCAGCTGCGGCTAACGTTCTTCCAACCTACTCCTACATCACAAAATATAACTCATCACGTCGGAGGCAGTCAGTCAGTCAGTCAGATGCAACGTCGAACTTCGTACGTGCCTACATCAGTTTATGGTGCCATACCACATCAGCACAGAGATGTAATTGTCAATTCAAATCCAATAGTAGAAGAGGTGATAAGGGTATTAGAAGTAATCGGAGAGGTTAGGATTAGAAGATACTATTCAAGAAGTATGATTCAGTGAGATAAGTTTAGAAAGTCAAAATTAGAGGAGTTGAAGAATCCAGAAGATTAGCATTTGAGAGAACACAAAGAATAAATGCACCGGCGCCATTGCAAACGGTTTCAAGCCATGTCATTCAGGGTCTCTAACCATCGATTATTGTTCTCTCGCGGACCCCAACCAGGTAGTCGACAACTGCCGACATGACTCAGTCCACTCGTCAATGACTTCATGGATTTCTGCCATGTTTTGATTTGGCCACCCCTAACTTTCTTCCAACCTATTCCTACACTACAAAACAAAGCTCGTCGAGGCAGTCGGTGGTTAGGGCATACGCAACACATGTCCCAACCACCTCAACTGATGAAGTTTCATTTCTTCATCTATTGATCTGCCATCCTTATCTAGCACCCGTTTCCCAATAACAGCATTGCTCACTCGGTTGTCCCACGATATACGAGCAATGCTTCGAAGATACCTATGACAAACTTCAAGTAACCTACGAATATCTTCTACTCCCACTGGCCATGTTTCACAGCCATAAAGTAACACGGAGCGAACTACTGCGCAGTACACTCGTCCTTTGGTCAGCAAACGGATATCTCGCCTACGCCATAAGTGACGCAGTTTGGCAAAAGCCAATCGAGCCTTCTGTATCCGAGCTGAGATTTCGTCAGTCAGCAGGCCATCGGCACTGATGAGACTCCCAAGATGAGTCGGAGGCAAACATCAAACTAATGTATTGTAATTGAGAACAATTGGAAAGGAGAGCTTAAGACAACAAAATTGATAGGTAACCATTAGGTGTAAGTAATCAGTATCATCTTAGAACATGAAATATCCACTACTTACTTGTAAATGTACACGATGAAAACCAATTCGTTGAAATGTTTGAAAACTACACTTCCATAAACAATATAAAAAACCGCATGCATCTAAACAAAGTCGACTAATCAATGCGTGATTATGATTTTTATTCACCGGACTCATATGACGCTGATGACTGTTAACAGCCTCATCATAATCAACAGTATTCAACATTATTTGATTGGTTGCAGTAGTACTATTAGTAGTATTAGTAGTAGTATCATTGATTTCGACATTTTTTACTTTGGACATGGTTGGTGATTTATATTTATTGTAGACTACCATCGGGTCAGGCGACGATACACTATCCACACTATTGCTAACTGGATTACCAGAGGAATCCGTACAATTCGACATAGTAGAGTTGTTGTTGCTGTTGCTGCTGGTGATGACTGTCGAAGGTGACAATGGTATCGTCGAGATAGTCGATGATAATGACAAGAAACATTGATTGGAACATTTTAAACCGGCTAAACAAAGCATACTTAAAATATCAGTAGATTCAGAGAAAAGAGTCTAAAAAATATAAATGGGAAAAATCATTGTGAATTTTCCTGTTACTACTCATATGACAATTAAGTAGTAATGTGTAACTATACATCATAAATGAAATACATAGTTCACATGTAACATTTTGAATTTGCATTACGGGGTTGTGAAGATTGTTAAGTTACACATTTTTAAAACCATGAATCGATCAATTTTAGACCACCATTAGAAACCTGGAAGCACTGGACGGCCGTTTCGTCCTGGTATGGGACTAGCTCATGAGCAGTGCGCATCCACGACTCCTGCTCCTCGCAGGATTCGAACCCAGGACCTTCGGTATTGTGCGCGAACGCCTAACCATCGGACCACTGGGCCAGCATCCTTGAATCGACTGAAGTAATTAATTAAGTAGGTAAACTGAATCACTGGAATTCCAATGCCATAGTTTAAAGATGTAGTCAGTCACGCATTAAAACACGATCATGGTATATAGATCTTTGACAAAACAGTAGTACTGATAGTCTTAAAGAGTTATTAGATTTGGAAAAGACAATCAAATAAAGTTTCATATTGATTTATTATCTATAAGCTGGACAGAAACCGATTTATTATGATTATTACTACTGAAAATTTACATTAGGAGTGCCAAGATTTTCGTTTTCCCCTCTAATCGTGTGCTGTTAGAGGATGCTCACATTGGTATTTCATGAGGAAACTGAAAAAGAAGTTAGATTGGCGTTGGTCTTAGGCGAGTTAGGAGAGTGACCATAGAGCTTAAGGGACGATTGCTTGAGACCAGTCGAGAATGACCTTTTTGTGAGTTGTTAACGTGTTAGCGCCGCTATTTAAGAGGCCTTAATGCAGGAGATGAAAATCCGTGGAGTAAGATGAGGTGTGACATTTTTAAGGTCGACCTTTTAAAACCCCTCCCTTCCTTGTGACAAGGTAGTATCTCTACAGATGCTGGTCGTCGAAGGGAAACACCTAACTGCTATCACACCTCTCTACCTTAAGAAGTACGACTTCGTTCTCAGATATGAAGTTGCTGCTTTTAGTCCCATCGTTCTCCAATCGACCTGCCTGGCATGGTAGAACCTTCAGGAACATATGTTCTAGCCAATATAGCTTGGCTGCGTCATCCCAATAGGCAAGCCTGACCACCATGTCAAGGTAGCAGCTAAGGTCAGGTGTGGCTCATAATCATCTATTTCCGATAAGAATTTTCTTACCATCGCATTCAAAATATCAATCATTAAAAGAGAAAAATCCGACTTTTATCTGAAAGAAAATTGATGATCATTTAAACATCTTGACAATAATTTATTAAAGTAAAGTAATTTGATGGATAGCAGTAGAATGCAGAAACTCATGTTTTGTCTTATTTAGGACTTGTTAGCTAAATGTCAGATGTGATACACATCTCTGTGAAGTGAAACACAGTACTGTTCACTTCAAATGCTATCGTGTTACCTGCTAAGCTACTGGGTCGAGACAACGTGTGATGTTTGTGCAAATGTATGTTGAGCCTACAATGCTTAGTCTAGTGTTCAGACAAACTAATTAACCCTTTCAGCCCAATTCATTATTCCCTCATCTATCGACCTTGACTATTCATTCGCTCGTTAACATTGGTTGTTTTTATTTGAGTATGTATGTGCAAGCTTACTTCATTGTTCATACCGATTCACAACTCATCGCATTGAGTAGGTTCACTCGTCATCTCCACTTCGTTTCGCGTAGCTTCGCTCTCATACTCTCACGTCTTCCCTGAATGAACAATTGCCTGTAGTAAACTCACCTGTATTCAGCCTCTTATTACCACCGCCGTACAAACGGGGTTCACCTAAGCACATGATAGTACGGAAAATCTATTTCATAGTATATTCGGACCGTTCGCTCAAATTGGAGTCACCGTATACGGACGACCATTAGGGTGGTAAAGTTCGAGAACTTAACACAGCCACTGAAAAACCAATGACTTGTTTAATGAAATTGTTAGGATATTCACAACCAATATCCTAAGAGAAGTATTCGTCAATTCCTATTGGTCGATTTCTATTGGTCAAAATTATGGTCGTTTTGACCTTAAAAGTCCAATAATTCAATGTTATTTCTTATTGGTTGTCTTGACTATCAATGTCACTTCAAATGTTTCTTATTGGTCGTCTTAACTGTCAATGCCACAGAATTCGATGCTGTTTCCTATTCGACCAAAATGTATAAATACGCATTATCTGTAATGTTTTTGACCAGGACCAGGAACCCTAGTCCGGGATCCTGATTCTCTTCTGGATTTGGATCTCGTACTTTCTGGTTGCTTGCAGAAAACATGTTCTACTTCATATCAAGTCTTCTTATTTTTAAATAAATATGAGGGTTGCGATAATTGGATTTGAGTAGTATGTCGTGTCAACGGATCCTCGATCCTCGCTCTCGTTTTTCCGACTGGGTAAACTCGTAATAATAATTCAAGTATATCAAGCTGTCGTGCTTACGTGCAGGCTTAACAGAAATGAAATTGTCTTAATCTTTTTAATTAAAAACATTTAAAAATTATTCACAACAATAATAATAATATACGCATCATTCATTCACTCATTTACCTGAGAATATTGATGAATAAATACACGTAGAGCTGAGAATGTTTGACGTATAACATGATCTGATGGATTATTAGACAATATTGATACATACGTTTCTAATATTGAACGAAATACTGGATCGTTTGGTTTACATGTAGTCAATTCGGACTAGTTAAGAAAATAAAATGTAATAAAAATCATAGGGAAAAACAGTTGGTTTAATGGAAAAAAGGAACGACAAAGGAAATAAAGAGAAACCCAATTTAAAATTGAAAATAAAAATGTTATCAATCAATAGATTGACGACTGATCGATTCATGATAACAAAATAATTCAACGATCTTCATAACCCTATAATGTAAAGTATGAACAAATTTTGGTAAAAATTACTTAGCTACTGAAAAGTATTTAAGTAGCTTATATTATTCTGAGTCAAAAGTATGGGTGGATTTAGCCACAGTGCAAACAATGACAGTGTGAAAATTAGGCAACCATTCCGTAAATACTTCATTAAATAGAAAAAGGAGATATATATATCACTCGATTGAAATTATATCTGTTAATCAATCGCTGTTTATGCAATTTAAGGCGAAATGTATCAATAGAAATAGTAGTTATCAATGACTTACTTTAAAAACTGTTGTAAATGTACTCAGTAAATCTAAGATGATTAGACTTGATTCAGTTGCCAAATTTGCTTTTAATAAAACTTTCAATTCTGCCAAAGAAAAATAGTGAATCAGGAACAAGATTTAAGATGCATGATACTTCTTTATTTGTCGTTAAGTCTGTAATATTAAAAAGTATTTTCGCGATCCTAAAAACCTAACTGATAATGTCAGTATACTCATACGAAGTAGTTATTATCAGACGAAAAAGATTTAACCAACATACAACTTACTTGGTATATTTTCAACTGTTTCCCCACTGTTTAATTCATTGACATTTTTATTGAGTAGATCACTTTGAAAATTTTTATTTCTTTTACGAGGACCAATATTATTAGCTAATAATGCATTGCTAAGATACATAAGATGACCAGTACCAGCAGTTCGTCCAACACTACTATGACTTATATGTCTAAATTAAACAATAGAATACCAATGATCAGATTAAAAATTTAAAACTTTCGGTATGAATTTGTTTATAAATTAATTTAACTACTGATAATAAAATAAGTAAGCAATTGCTAATGTATAAAATAAACATTGTAAGAATAAACTGTAACAGGTTAGATTCCAAATGCCTTGGAGGACGTTAACACCTTTATATATCTGGGAACTCCAAACAACTTTCAACCAAAACCAAAATCAGGATTTTCAATACAAATATCAAGACAGTTCTACTGTATGCAGCGAAAACATGGAGAATTACCAAAGCCATCATCCAGAAGATACAAGTGTTTATTAACAGTTGTCTGCGCAAAATACTTCGTATTCGTTGACCGGACACCATCAGCAACAACTTACTGTGGGAGAGAACAAACGAGATTCTAGTGGAGGAGGAAATCAAGAAGAAGCGGTGGAAGTGGATAGGACACACACTGCTAAAAGCACTGAACAGCGTCACAGGAAAAGCCCTCATATGGAATCCTCAAGGCAAAAGGAAAAAAGGAAGGCCAAGGAACACATTACACCGAGAAATAGAGAAAGATATGAGAGGAACGAACAAACATTGGACAGAACGGGAGAGGGAAGCCCAGGACAGAGTTGGTTGGAGAAACTGGTAGGCGGCCTATGCTCGACTGGGGGTAACAGGCGTAAGTAAGGTTAGATTTCAAACCATTTGGCACTCGACAGTAAGGCGTACGTGTAATCTTGATGGGAATAATGTTGCCTATTGTATTTGACCACTTACTGTCATTCTACGACGCTAAGGCAACTTATCTGGTGAATGACCTATCACTGAATAGTGACAGACGTACAGTTTATCAATTATGAAATGTTCAGACATCAAGCAGTTTAAAAATCTGCCAGTCAATGGATATCATTGACTATCTAAAACACAACAGACATGAAAACCTTTATTCTTCAACATGGACCACTGTACAAAAGGTACTAGGTTCTATATGGTGATTGACTAACTGACTGACTGACATTTTTCCTCTTCAACATCTGAAAACCATTTGACTAAGAGTGAAACAAATTTCAAACAACAGTTTAAATGAATATCTGGTTTGCATTACAGGGTTGTGAAGATTGTTAAAAGTTACACATTTTTGAAACTATGAATCGTTCGCCTATAATACTGAAGGTCCTGGGTTCGAATCCTGCGGAGTGCAGGAGTCGTGCATGCGCACTGCTGAGGAGTTCCATACCAGGAAGAAACGGTCGTCCAGTGCTTCCAGGTTTCTAATGGTGGTCTAACATTGATCGATTCATGGTTTCAGGAATATCTGGTTGTTTAAAACAACTAAAAACCGAAATTCTGCTCCGGACCCCCCTCTCACATCTATAAATTTTTAAATGAATGTACCGATATGCAAAAAACTTGAAAAGTAACAAAAAATGCACATTTTCTTTGCATCATCTTACTCATATTGTTGAATGCAGTGTTTACCACGATAACGTAAATGTTGAATAGCAAATCTGTAAGATGATAAGAAAGACGGGACAATGAAATTAACTGAGTAATTCGGTCGGGAGTACACATTATAAACAAGGCCTACATACACATTCACTACTAAATGCATATAGGCATAGAGGTTTTCTATACACAGGTATACTCTACTCTACGTATATACATATGTGGAGTGTATTGACCACAGTCTATTCTCTCTCTCTAATATCAGTACTTAGATATACGTAGGATGAATTTTGAGGTTTTCTACAAATTTTGACTATTCGTAACAATATACTGTTGTTCGGGATGTGATTTTTCCCGTCGAAATGCAAAATGTTGCTTCAAGATTGAGATTCATCGGCACCTGAACTAGTAATAAAGAGCAGAGTATGTTGACCGCTTCACTTATCTCGAGAGTCTCATCAGTGCTGATGGCCTGGTGACTGACGAAATCTCAGCACGGATACAGAAGACTCGACTGGCTTTTGTCAACTTGCGTCACTTATGGCGTAAGCGAGATATCCGTTTGCTAACCAAAGGACGAGTGTAATGCGTAGCAGTTAGCTCAGTTCTACTATATGGCTGCGAAACATGGCCGTTAAGAGTAGAAGACTTCCGTAGGTTATTGGTTTTCGATCATAGGTTTCTTCGAAGCATTGCTCGTATATCCTGGGACTACCGAGTAAGTGATTCTGTCGTTAAGAAACGGGTGCTAGGTAAGGGTGGCAGATCAATAGATGAGGTAATGAAACTTCATCTGTTGAGGTGGTTGGGACTTGAGTTACGTATGCCTTGTCGAGCGATGTTTTGCGACCTAGGAATAGGTTGAACGAAAGCTAAGGACGGCCAAGCCAAAACATGGCACAAATCCATGAGCCGCGAAATGATAATAACCGATGGTTAGAGACCTTGAACGACATGTCTCAAAATCGTTTACAATGGCGCAAATGTATTCATTCTTTGTGTTCTCTCAAATCCTGACCTTCTGAATCGCTCATCAATTTCTCTTCACCTTTTAGGTCCATTTCACTAGATCCTAGTTCTTGAATAATATCGTCGAACCCTAAAATTTCCGATTACAGCTAATACTGCTACTACCTCTACTACTATGGAATCTGAAGTGACAATTGCATCTCTATGCTTATGTGGTACCGCAACTTGAACTGATGTACGTGCTTACACAGTTCTATGTTGTTGTTGACTGACGGACTCTACTGGTAAAAATTTCTTAGTGGGACTCCTAGGACATTTTCATGTCATATATTCATTGACAAAACGACCGCCTAGTGCTTCCACGAACCCAAGGATGGCCTAACATCGGTCATTTGCCTGTGATTTCAATGAAATTGAACAATCTGTTACCCAATCTTATAATGATATAAAAAGGAAATCAGTTAAGTTAAAATAAATAGTACAACTTAACCTCTCAGACAACTACTGACTCCTTTTTTTATCTTTATACGACTGAGTAGTACATTGTCAAGTTTCATCGAGATTATCAACCCATCAATGTTAGATCACCATTAGAAACCTAGAAGTACTGAACAGCCGTTTCATTTTGGCTAGTATAGGACTCATCAATAGCCGTGCACATTAACGAACCTCACTAGGGGGGAATCTGTTAGGATATTCATCCAATATCCTATGAGAATTATTGGTCAAATTATGGTCGTTTTAACTGTCAAAGTCAAATACTTCAGTGTTGTCTCTTATTGGTCATCCGGACTGTCAGTGTCATTTCAAATGTTACTTCCTATTGGTCGTCCTAAACTGTCAATGTCACAGAATTCGATGCTGTTTCCTATTCGACCAAAATGTATAAACACGCATTATCTGTAACATTTTATGACCACGACCAGGACCAGGGCTCGGTCCCGGACTCCAAAGTCCAGGATCCTGGTTCTCTTCTGGATTTGGACCTCGTACTTTCTGGATACTTTTACAATACATGTTCTACTTCATATCACGTCTTCTTATTGTCACTAAATATGGGGGTTGGGATAATCGGATTAGAGTAGCATGTCGTGTCGCCGGATCCTCGGTCCTCACTCTCGTTTTTCCGACTAGGTAAACTCGTAATAGTTCAAGTATATGAAGTTGACGTGTTTACGTGCAGGCGTAACAGAATCAATCCCAAGACCTTCGAAGTTGCACGCGAACGCATAACCTCCACAACAATATTATGAAAATTATCATGTGCTCATTAGTGAGTGACTAGCTCCGTAAGGAATTTTCTCTGAGTTCTAGTGAGAACTCGTGTCCAATGAAGTGGGTGAGGCTATTATTATTATTATCTAACCGAAGACAATGAGTGAGGTCGCATGATATTTTGAATCGCTTAAAGTTGGACAATTAAAACCATTAGATGCCTGTTCAGTGGCGTAGAGAGGTTAAGCATTCGCACACAAGATCGAAATTCGTGGGTTCGACTCTTAAGAGCGGGAATCATGGGAGCGCACTACCACCGCTGACAAAACTTCTCATGCACCAGGGATGAAACAGGTTTCCAATGCTATAGTCTGTTGTCTAACACATTAATCAATTCAAGCATTCAAACAAAACTGAACAATTTCTTTTAAAAAAAAATATATATCACTTACTTTAATAAACTTAAAAAATGTAGCCTATCTTGTATAGTGAAACTTTGTAATAAACTTTTCAAATGTATCATTGTAATAGTCGAGAGAATATGTAATAAACATATAAATAAATCACGTTGACAATTATCAGTTAAACGATACGGTAGTAGATTAGTTTGTTGTAATTGTTCATAAGAATATTGATGTCGATGTGGACGAATAACGACGACGTTCGATTGTTGCTGCGTCGTTGTTGTTGTTGTTGTTGGCGATGATGATGATGACGACTGTGATAATAATTCAGGAATATAAATTTTTTGTACACCACTTTGATATGATACATAATACTGATGATGATTAGTATGATATGATGATGGGAGAATAGAATTCGGATTGCTGAAATAAGAAAATTACATTAGATAATAATGTCAGTCAGTCAGTCAGTTATAAATCATTTTGGAGAGAGTGTGGTGTGAGCTACTTATAAGTAGTATATAACGTGAGTGTCAACGTAATGTCTGGCAGCAGAAGATGAGGGAAGATCAAGAAAGGAAGAGTTAGAAAACAATGGAATTTG